GAACTGAGTTACGTTTTTTTTTTTGTTTTTTTTGTTCTTGTTCTAGTAGTCTGCAAGCTGCATCTGATGCTACATTGTACTATAGCTCCAATTCCATGTGAAATTTTAAAATCCAAATTTAAATCACACATATATTAATCTATATCAGTAAATGTTAGGTTAGGTTAGGTTGGAACTTGTTTAGGCGTATTTTTCACTCTTTTTGTTTTCTTTCTCTATAAGCTAATTTCTTAACAAACAACATAATTTTATGTGTTTTATAAATAATGGCGTAATCCATTTTTCTTTTAAAGTTAGTTTCATTTATAATATTGACTATTATGTTCAAAATAATTTTTGAATATTATCATTATTTGTTATTAATATTTTTAAACGTATGAAGATTATTTAGTTCTTTTAGTTCAGTATATGGATTTAGGACTAGCTTAATATATCATGGTGTATCAGCTAGGATCTAACCTCGTTAGATTTTACTGGTGTATCTGTAAGAAAAACATTGTTAATAGCGAGGGTACCAAGCTGATGAATCATATCCTACCTAATCCCTAAAAATCTTAGTTTTCTTGTTTGCTGATTTCTCAGATTATTTGCACCTACTTGTTTAGTATATATAAAATTAGCTTCATTAATTTGGCCCTCAAGTGGCTCAGCGGGGGAGGGTGGTGCCTTATATTCGTGGTGGGCAGAGAACAGACAGCCCATTTTGTAACAAGTAAAATTAATCATTAACTTAAAAGTTACTTTTTTATTTGGTCAGAAGTAGTTAGTAATACTGATGGATCCAGGTGGCATCCTTCCTCCCCTCCCCCCCAAAAAAACTATTGTTTATGCATATTTTGAATATATTTTGTCAAATAAAACGCGAAGATGCACCCTCTCAGCTGCATCCACCACCACCCACATTTCCACCTCTAAATCATCCATAATTCATCATTAATCAATTCAGGGATTAATAAATAATTCCTGAAATAATTGTTGTTCCAAACTTGAACAGTAACTACTTTATCAATAAGTTTTTAGGAGTTTATATGTTGTATAAAGCATTCAGAAAACGTTCAACGTCTAACAGTTTTCACAAGCATTTGGCAAAGTTTGTCTAATATTTTCGCTTTGCCACATACGCCTTCTAATAACCGAAATTTTCTCTCTCCCGTCTCTCTCTCTGTTCATTCTGAAGATTGAGCTTTCGATTTAATCATTAAAGCGCATACATTTCACTGCCAAGTCATTTTAAACTATAAAACTTGCCCCATTAAGCGGTTTCATTTTCAATAACAGCTTTCTCAATTAGTCTTTAGAAGAGAAAAAAAAACAATAACTGAAATAAATTTTGGTTTGTTTTGAATTTCGCGCAAAGCTTCACGAGGGCCATCTGCGCTAGCTGTCCCTAATATAGATGGAAGGGAGCTCTTCATCACCA